TCAGTGATGTGACCACCAAGGTAAGTGAAGCGATCCACCACTTTCAGTGGCTGTTCGGAAAGGGCTAAAACCGGAGGTGTATAGGCCCAGTCCTGCAACAGCACTTTGCACTCTGAAGAAGCAAAGCACATGCCGAAGCGTGCAGCGCTACGCGTCAGTCTGCGCGATAGTGTTTGCATAGCCAATGCATCAGACCCAAGGAGAACTATCATCTGCATACCCCAGGTTTGTCAGTCGGTCCACTGGCAGAACTTCTACTCCAGCATAGTCTGAAAGAACCGAGTCATTCATGAGCATTTCGATCACGAAGTTGAAGAGGAAAGGAGCTATAAGCCAACGCTGGCGAGCACCACTTGTTGTGGGGGAACTCAGGAGAGAGTTTCCCGTAGACCCTTACATCGCTTCGGGATGCGCAGTAGAAGGACTTCAGAAGTTCACATTAACTATAAACCATGGTTTCAAGGTTTTACATTTATCAGCATATTATGAAACTGGTTTCCTGCTTATGTTAAAGACTTAATTAGATGCAGAACGACGTGGCGTAATTTTGTACTAGAAGACTAACCTCCGTTGTGAAATTATTGACCATCCAGAAATCCATGCTCCAGATTCGCTTTGGTGCTGGCTATGTCTTATAGCTGTGATTTACCGTCCACCAAACTACGTGTGAAATGGACTCCAAATTGAACCACGTTCTTCAGGTTGCTTTGAGCAAGTTATACAATCGCATTCCCATCGCAGGCGACTTTAATATGCACGAGATGGAAATAACGGCGACCGATAGCATGCAGTTGAAAGCCTATTTACAAAAGGTGATGTTTAGGTACCCAATGTACAACCACTTGACCTCACATACCAGATTTCGAAATGTTAACAAGCAGCCGATCTTGTGCTCACCAACGAAGAACTCATGGTCGACGGAATAATCACAAGCACAACACTGGGTCACAGTGACCATGTGACTCTACTGTGTAACTATGTAAGTTGTGCGGAATATGCTGAGGAAGGGGATACTAAAGTTATACGGTCACGCACTACAACGTGTTATTCGCGCTTGTTAACGAGGCATGTTGGATCTACGTAACTGAATGCCCCCAGAAATCGCCTGGGGCACTTTCACCAGTACATTCACCACATCGGTAACGTACGAGTCTGAGCAGAACTCCTTCAATCGTCAATGGAGAAGGAAGTCATTTCTGAGGAGCAGAACACGCAAATGCATGTCATTGAGAGACTTAACATGGAGAGCTCACAAGGACTCCCCGAATTTCGAAACCTGGACTGCCTATGTGGCACAGCGTAACTTCTGTGTGAGTTTGATCCGCGAGGACAACGTGACGCATCAGCAGGAGTTAATGAAGAGATTCTGCACGAAACTCAAACTCTTATACAGGCATGTTAATGGCCTTCGAAAGGTGAAACGCGGAATTCCAGCACTGGTCACGACTGACGGATGCACGCGATCAGCCACGGAAGCAGCCGATCTCTTACTGTTCTATTACTCACAAACGTTCCAGAGAGTAACGGGCACAGTGGTTATCCCTGTATTGTCCCACCATCAGCTTTACCCAATATCATTTTTACTACAGAAACTGTGTTAAATAAGCGGTTGTCCCTGGGTATCCACAGCTCTCCTGGAGTTGATAACATACGACAGAAAACTTTACAGGTAGTAACAAGTGATCTGGCGGAATCTCTGACTACATTCTATCGACGCTGTGTGGAGGAGAACCATACTCCAACAAGATGGAAGCGAGCGGTCATCAATGCTATTCATAAGACAGCTATTCTCACTGACTCAACCAAGTACGGTCTTGTAACGCTACTCCCTATGCTTTCCAAAGATATGGAGTCTATCATCGCTAATGCACTCATGCAATATCTGGAAAATCCCAAGATGATAGCATCAGAACAACATGCCTACCAACAAAAACGCTCCAGCACCACGAACTTGCTAATTACACGCAATAGCTGGACTGAAGCAGTTGATGGTGGAGCAGGAGTCAATGTCATTTAGCTGGACTTCTCAAAAGCGTTTGATCGCTTAGATGACGGAATTCCTCTCCATAAACTTCAGCCCTATGGTATTGGTGACCCACCGCTGCGTTGGATGGGCAATTTTCTGCAGGAACTTCAGTTGTAACTGAGGCGGACTGCGGCGTACCACAAGACTCTGTGCTATGGCCCCGGCTATTTTGATTTTCATAAAGGATATGGCGTGGGAAATAACCTCGAGTTCCTATTCTTCGCGTATGACATCAAGTTATGGCGAGCGATCAGAGAGTTGAACGACCACGAAAAGCTCCAGCGTGATCTCAACACGATGTCAAACTGGTCAGTTCAGAATACACTACAATTCAGTGTGGAAAATTGTCACGCTGTTCAATTGCGCCATAGGCTTTGGTCACATGTATTGCAAACAACTTCCCAGGAACGTGCCCTTGGTGTGACCATTGCACTGTGACCTTGACTGTACAAAGCAGTCAGAAGACAGCTGCGAAAAGAGTCAACCAGCACGTTGGATTGCTGCGGAGAGCATTCGGAAGTTTCGACCCATCCATCTTCCCCATGATGCAGGAAACTTACGTGCACACTCATGTCGAATACGACATTCAAGCTTGGCAACCTTGGTTGAAGCGCGACTTAGAAGTGCTAGAGAAACCACAACGCAGGGCTACAAAGAACGTCAAGGGACTACGAAATTGTCCTACCATCAAAGGCTGAAGTCACCTAGAGTTTTCAGTGGCCGCTACCGAAGGCTTCGCGGCGATCTCATATTAGTCTACCAAATATTGCTTGACCCTAATCACGTATGCCGTCACTTGTTGAAACTCGGCCATAACACCAATCTCAGATGTAACCCACTGAAATTGACTGCACAGTATAGCCGCCCGGAATACCGCCGGAATTATTTTCCTCTTCGGGTTTGTTAACCCTGGAACTTTCTCCCAAACTTAGTCGTTTCCTCCCCCACCTTGGATATTTTCGAAAAACGATTGGATCTTGCACTTGGCCCCCATCACTTTATTGCTTAAACTGTGCTACTCTAGAATATATTAATTATCCTTCCAAACGGGATTAATTTCACATAAGCCTGAGGAGTCGGTACAGAAATGAGTAGTATTGATTTACTTTTCTCACGGAACGCATCAACTATTACTGTCCCCATGTTCCTTCGCCGTTAGCATACAATTCCCACATACACTACTATTATTCAGCAGCGTATATGCTGGACAAACGCTCAAGCAGACAATTCACATATCTCTTGATAAATGTAGTTTTACCCCCACCATGCTGTGGGACTTGTCAAGCAACTGCTTTTTTACCCGACATAAATCATTGTTCATTGAACAATGAACAATGATTTATAACGGGTAAAAAGCAGGTGCTTGACATGCCCCTTAGGGTGGTTAGAGTGCGAAAAGATAGATCAAGGGAAAATGAAATTGTCGGTTTGGGCGATTACAGATTTAACAGCACTGTCGTATAAATGGAGTTTGAAATCAGAATGTGCGCACAAAAAGCAATAAGGGGGAGTGGTTATTGATCACGTAATAAGCGAGAAAATAATAAAAATAGCAAGGATAACGCTTACTCGTGTGCAGCTATCTCGGGTCGACAGGATACAGAAATCCACTTACTACGGTAGTAGAGTTTATCAATGTGTTTGCAAGGGGTTTGGAGTGACTCATGCTCGAGTAGGGTTATGGCACTGTCCACTGTCTGTTGTGCATTAGTGCCAGCATCAGTTGGTCAAAGGCTATAGCACGTAGTTTAAATGGGACAGATTATCGTCAAGGCGTTTTTTGAAAATGCATAGGGTGGGAGCATTAAGTACACATTCCGGGACGGAGTTCCAAGGCTATGATACTCGAAGAGAGAAAAAGTTTCGCCGACATTCCAGTCGACCGTACTGTGTGACCAGCTTAAAATGATGACCTCTTAGCGAGATGTTTTGACTGACTATTAGAAGGGAATGACATGGGTGTTTGGGGTTTCTTAGGATCTGGTATACCACTATGAGATCGCCCCTTAGACGCCGATAAGGTCCACTGTATATTTTGAGAGTCTTTAGCCTGAGTGGGTAGGGGAGGCTGGTCAAACCTCTGACGCTCTTCGTTGCCCTACGCTGTGCAGTATCGAGCGCGGTGAGATGGTGATTGAGTCAAGGTTGCTACGCTTGAATAGTGTTTTCTGCGTGCGGCCTCACGTACGCACTAGGCATTTTTGGAAAGATTGAAGGGTCAAACTTCCCGAATGCTTTGCGAAGAAGGCCGAGGTACTGGTTTGCTTTCTTAGACGCCTTTTCAGTCCGCTTCAAACAACCGAGGTCATCTTGAACTAGCACGCCGAGATCGCACTCATGAGAAGCCCGCTGTAGAATTTGTGGTCCTAGCCGGTACTTGCGCATACTCTTGTGTTGTATGCTGAGAACTTTGCACTTGGTGACGTTGAAGTGCAGCATGTTCTCGATGAACCATGTGTACACTTTGTCCAGGTCCTCCTGTAACACTGTGTGATCCTCCACTGCAGCTGTAGTACGCCATACCTTCAGATCAGCAGCAAATAGCAAACAGTTAGAAGATAGCACACTCGCGAGATCATTTATGAAGTACCGAGCCTTGAGATACACCGCACTGAACTTCGATGGATTCCGACAGGTTGCTTCTAACCCTCACATTCAGGTGACGTTGCACGAGAAAGTCTCCTATCTAGCCAAAAACAGTCCAGAACAGGATCGCTGATTCCATATTTCTGAAGTTTGTGGAGTATAATGCGATGGTTTAGATGGTCAAATGTCTTTGAGAAATCCAGGTAGGCCGCGTCGACTCCTGCATCATTGAATGCTACACATTAATCAGAACTCCGTAAATTCAATCGGTCTGTTGTGATTGCCGTCGGACGAATGTTGACATGTATGTTGGATGGTTTAGTCAAAAGTAAAAACAGTAAGAATAAATACAACGAAGTTTTGGAAGGCTAATTTTTCACTAACTCACCAACTTTGCCAAGTCCGGCCCAACGAATTGCACGAACTCCGAAAAGAACCAAACTGAAACCAACAGTAGCCCCGACAATACTGTGTGTCCCGGAGACAGGTAGGCGGAAAAACGTGGCAACTAGAAGCCAACTGCAGGACCCTAAAAATGAAAGATAGTCCCGGGCGTAGCAGAGCTGTTTCCACACGGGATTAACCACACAAAAAGAGGGAAGTCGCGCATTAGTCTAACTCTAATAGGGTGATTTAGCTGCTTATCAACGTTATTAATGCATTCGACAGAGATGTAAATAAACACATATGTCTACTATCCAAATATTGTGCAAGATAAATCTAGAAGGCATTTTTGCCCCTCCATACTTGTTTATTTCATAAAGTGTCGTTTACTATTTCCTGTCGCTGAAGACTTACCACCGAGCGCAGCTACCTGGCCAGCCATCAACTTTTCTGTACCGTTATCGACTGTATCAAATAGTGACGTATCCACGATGCCTTTACGAATAGTACTTGAAACTCTGGAGCCTGTGTTACTGTAATTAACTATTATCTCAGAAACAAAACGTACCCAAAAGTAGCGCACCAAGAAGTTCACATATTGTTGCAAGTGTGCATGCCTGCTTCAGCGTCAGGACGCCGGATCCAACACTTGACCCGAAGGTATTAGCGACGTCATTTGCACCAATTCCAAAAGCCAAAACAAATGCAATTATGAATCCGACGATAACCATCCATAGTTGGTCTTCTGGTATGAGCATCCTCAGGTGTAATTATGATGGCTAAAATAGATGGCAAATGTAGGTCTGAAATGTCTGTATTATAATCCGATGTTAACCTTGCTCTCGGTTGTAAGAGCTAAAGGTCCTACCAGAAAACCTGAGCACGTGTTCCATGGTTGCCTAGTAGGATTTTCATCTGATACTTCACTAAGTTAAAAGTCACTCCTTAACATGATTTTTATGAATAAGATGCTTTTTACTCCTTAGAAAAACCTGATCCAATGTTTGAATTCAACTCGGATAAGCCTGAGACTACTTTGTAGCAATTTCGTACAACATAACCTAGTAAATGTCGTATGAAGAAAGTTTCTCCATCTATTCATTATATACGTCATGAGTTGCTGGGATAAAATAAAGACTAAGTTTACTGTTGTAGGTGCTATTGCACATTATCAATTCAAATTTGATGATACTATCCCGTCAGGTGCACCAACATACAATGGTACCAAGTTTCTTTTATTATTTAGACGAATGACGGTGCTTTTTCGATACACGGGTCTCATGCGACTATGTAGTATCATAGAAGTATTTAGAGGCATTTATGTTACAGAGAAATAGTGTGTATGAGGCTTGGAAGTAGGCTGACGTTTTCCCTTAGTATCACCTTAGACAATGATTTAAGTGATTCCGCAGGGCACTCCGTGGAGTGGGTGAGTTATGGATTTGTGTGACCAATTCTAATACCAAGAGCATTGAGGCAACTCTAGACCTTATATTTGTTAAGCATACGAAGCTATTTTCCTTATGCGACCCGACACCGATTGATAGTTCTGACCAGTCAAAAGTCAAGTTATCCACTGTCAGTTACATCAAGGTAATTTATATGGAGGTTTGCGCGCTGTGAAGATCATTGGCTTAAAAGAAGACAATGTTCACCTCAGCACATATATCGACTAGGAGAAAGGATTGCACCTACAGACTTGAGTGTATTTTTGATGCCGATACAACTACGTGCTGTGACCAGTTATCCAGCTACCTCAACATCCTTTTGCTACCTACTGTCCACTGAAAACCATTTTCATCCGTGCGGATCGGCTTTCATTTCCATGCCTAAAAGGCTTGCGTAAAATCAAAGAAAAAGCGTTTAAAAGAAATGAATACGCTGCAAGTAAATATCTTTCTAGTTACAGCAAGTTAGTTACATCGTCTAAACCATCTATACGTCCAGAACATAATCGGAAATAATGGCTATCTGGAGGCCTGGCGGATGCTGATGCAACTTAGTAGTCTCTCACCGAGTGTTGAATCCAGGCGTGGTCCTTGAAGAATTGAACTGCAACTGTTGTTACTTCAATGCAAACTCCAGTTCTTAACTTTCCTCCCTCCGATTCGACAGGTCGATAACTTCCTTATACGCTATTAACAGAAATATAGTGACAGCAGTAAAATTCCTACAAAGTGAGTGGCCCGGACAAACTATTTTCCGTTGTCCTCAAGGTACGTTTGATTCCTTGGCTCAGCCTCTCGCTGACCTGTACCCTTTGTGTATAAAAATTTAAAAATGCTGATTGTTACAGAAGTGCTAGAATTAAACCCAGTATCAAAGAAAGGTTCGAAGAAATGCCGACTGATTGCCTACTTCTAAGTGAACTTGCAGGTCTTCCAGGAGAAGTTGACTGAAACACAGTCTGATGATCTGCTCCAGTTTGCTTAGCATAGTTCTAGGTCTACTCAAAACGCAGCATCCTACCTCATACGTGTAGTGCTGTCCTCACTAGACAAAAAGAGAAACTCTGTGCGAATATGCTTTCGAGACTGCAGTCATTATTTTAGCAGCAAAAACCGTGAGCTACATTTGAGAGACCTAAATATTACATAAATTTACCTTCCTGTTGTCAACTCGCAGACGTGTCTAATTTGCTCGACTTTGGGATAAATGTTTCTCAATGCTCACCACAGCCGCCGGAGTTCTTTAAGGAGCCACACTATCTCCATACCCTTTTTTCACTTACGTCGCCTCATTACCTGCTCGTGATAAATCGATATTGCTGAAAAAATGCAGATGATGTGGTTTTAGATGTTCAATATGCGACCACCACTTAATCAACCATATTACAAGCCTATCTGGGCAACCTCGCATTGCCGTCCAAAACCCACTTTTTATCGCTGAGTGCATTAAAATGTCATGTTTATTTTTCCTAGACTAAGACCGTCATTATCAGCATCTTCTTATGAATTGCCCTGAACTTTACATAGATGGTGAGAGGTGTAAGTAAGGTAACTAGCCATCACATCCAGCCATAATCTTTCTTGATCACTTCATATTTATGAAGTGTTTACAATAGTGAGGAAACGTTCCGCCGCTACTTTGCGATTTTCTTGTGTCTCTGAAACTTAATAGTGAATTATCACCGCTTGTGCCCTACCCCACTGGACCTATTGCTCCCTTGTGTCATTCCTCGGTTTCTTAAAGAAGCAGTTCAAAATTCTAGATGGGTCTTTGACGCAACTGCCTCATTGTAGTAGCATTACAAAGCCGATCTCTTTTGACATACTTGGGCCTACTCCTATTAGTTCACACAAAAAAATTGCTTCAACAATACGAACCGGCGCAAGTCGCCCTCTTCATGGTACAGTTTCTGAATACGTATCAGACTCACTGACACTCCGCATCGCACCGCACCATTCCGCTACATAAAGGCGCACTGAACATGTCAAATGGAGTGATGAAACTTTTGCAGCAAAAGCACCGAGATCAGTGAACACCATTCGTATCAACTTATTCAACCAGACTAAAGTATAGATCCGTTTATGCCGGTACAAGTGCTTCCCGCTCATGCGTAATTGCCCATTTGACGCGTTTTTTGTGCGATCAGACTTCAGTTGTTCTGGAGTTTCTAAATAACTTTGCGTTGTAACCAGATTGCTGTTTATGCCACTCAGTAACCTATGTGTATATTCACTGTTTTAAGTTTTGTCCTCTTCACACTGCTGTAGATGTGTGTGTAACAGCTAAAATTTCACCCTACTGGACGAATAAATTTCTTGCTTGAATCGAATACTTGAGTCATTTCGTGATCGCTATGCATATCGCGTGTAACACGGTCTTTTAAATGCCACCGTTTGATGAAACAGGGATAGGTTTGTGGAGTAATCAGTACTTTTCCTAATGTTTAGTTACTTTCTTCTAGCATTACTATTTTGCTGCCTGGTAAGTGACTTGCAAAAGTTATCTTATTCTGGTCTACTGACAGTGAAACATTGTCTTTATCAAAAGATGCAGCCAAACATCTGAGACGCAGTGCATAATGATCACAGTCTATTTGATGAATTGGTCATGAAAAGCAAGTTAGTAATACTAATTGAATTACAATAGTATAAACTTTAATCACTGCGTTGTGATCAAGATGCCTTTAAAAGGGCTACTTCAAGGAGCTACACTGCAGTTACTAATGTACTATACGAGGTTCAGTCACAATAAATTTTATATCGAGCTTTGATAAATACACAGCGGTCGTCTGCAACAACATCGAAGTAGTTAATCGACGGTGGCAAGCTCAATTTTAGCACATAGCGACAGATTACCTAGCATCAGAAGACAAAGGTTGCGCGATGTGTCACATTTCGGAACTGGGCTCAAGAACATTATAGTTGCTATTAGATTGAAAAATAGCTCAACTTATCGAGTGGACTCCAAACACCAACAAACATGTTTAGCATGACAACAAGCAGGAGTAGCTAAGTTTAAATCTTTGAGCTATATGAAATATTAGCTAAGGATTACACCAAACTTCTACCTAGGTTCTCGAAAGTTGTTAGGTCATAAAACACTTAAAAATAAGCTCAATATTACAGATTGTATTTAGTACAGGCATACCAGTGTAGCAGATAATGCGAAGCTTCGACTACCTCAGCAGTTGAACAAAGGGAGTGCTTCATTTAAGCCAATAAAAGCAATAATGATAGAACTTGATTTTGTGAGCACAAACTCAACATATCATTTTGGAAACCACGCGAAATATAATGCACTTAAAATAAAGGATCAATATCGGTACACAACTGCTTCGATGATTTAAGTCCGCACCACGGTGACAAACATATAACAGTAGGGTAGTTAACAAAAATACCACTCCAGATAGTTCAATAAAGAATGAATGCAGATAGACACATGCAATGTTTATTGTTACTTCAGCTGCATTGAACCATATTCATAGCGAATGGCTGCACTCGGAGATTTATAGAGGGACAACCAACTGCGAGGGCCAAAGGAGTTAGTGGAAGAAGCAGCCAAGAAAAATGTTTATACCAAATTGACAATCAACGACGCCTTTAAAATACTGAAGGTATTTAAGCGAATAATCATGGCAGCTGCTGTGCTGTACAGGTTGTCGGCATTAATAATATCAAAATTTCACCGGTCCTTCCAAAGAAAGAAACTCAACAAAATAGTGCCCGATGACACCAAGTATACCAATTCATATGAGACCGCAAACTCAGTTGCGCAGTCAGAAATATTAGAGGTCTGCCTTCACGAATGGTGGACCATGTATCAAAGTTGTTCAGCGTCCTAGCCTCCTTAGCCTGCGTTCCCACTTGGACCACGAGTATCCTTTGAGCAAACATCTGCTGATTACAACTTCCAGGATGAGGCCCAGCTCAGCACTCGAAGGGGTGTTACATCACACTACTTTGGTTCCCTTTATTTTATGAGTCTGTCAAAATAAGTCATAGAGACAGGGGTGAATTCCAGTCATTCAGAATGCAGCGAAACACGTTTACTCCTGCACACCTCTGTGTCGTCCCCTAGGTCGGCGCGGGCGGGTTCTCCTCCTCCCACCCAAAGCGGCTGCCCTCACCTAAGGAAGCATTTAAAGGAATGGACGACGCCTCAATGACGTCTCTCACGGTTAGTATCAAGGAAGAGCAACGCCGTCTTAACCACGAGCATACCCAGACCATATCTGGGAAGGGCAGTTGTGAAAACTATGTTGGATGCTGAGACGGCACACGGTAATTGCTCGGTGTGCCTCCTATCCTAACAGAGTATGGAGAAATTGAAC